TTCGGTATGCAGTTTCGCTGCTAAGGGGCCCCGCCATGGATTGGTGGCGAGTCATCGTGACGTCGCCACGCGCCTACGAGCCACCGTCGCACGAGGAAGGGCCCACGGGTCCAGCTGTCACCTGGAGTTCGTTCTGTGAGACCGCCCAATACAGCACGTGGGATGCGTGGTGCGCAAGGCTTCGGGCGCGCTTCGAGCCGATTGCGGCTTCCATTTCGGCGCGTCAGAGACTGCGCACTTGGCGGCAGCTCGGGTCGGTTCAAGATTATACGAGCGGTTTTCTTGCACTTTGCGAGCAGGTCGGCTACATGCACGAAGCGGAGCGGGTGGACCGTTACGTCGGAGGGCTGAAGCCGGATATCTCGCACGAAATCATGCTGCGCGGACTCTCCAACTTCAACGAGATTCTCGCGTTCGCCGAGAAAATTGACATTCTACGCAGGCGGAGACCGGGGTCCTACTACGGACATCGCCCTCGGGGACCGACCGAGCACGCCACTGTACACGCCGTTGCAGAAAATGCAGCTGCCGCACCATTTAAGGGGCGCTGCTTTGCTTGCAACAGGCCGGGCCATCGCAAGAGCGAATGCCCAGAGGAGCTGAGGCGCCGCGGAGCAGAGCAGGGGAGGGAGTCTCAGAGGCAGGGAAACGCCAGCAGTTAGTAGAAGTTGGGCCAACTACTGACGAGACTGCTTGCTCGCCCAACCGCACAAACCCTCACCGAGTCACAGTACCGATTCACGCCATCGATCGGGCTCGGATGAATAAGGAGGGTACAGCGACGGATTGCCGAGTACTGATCCACGGGAAAATACAGGGGAGCAGCAGTGAAGATTTTTATTGATGGAGGAGCGAGTCACAGTTTAGTAAATACCGCAACCGCACGAAAACTACAGTTAACACTTAACCGTTGCTTACCTGAGATAGACGCACGCTTAGTCGACGGCACGCCACTTGCCATACGGGAAAAGGTGGAGCGAGTAAAAGTCTGCTGCGGAGGGAACTTCGGGTTTACACAGGAAATGCTCGCAACGACACTGGATGGGCACGACATATTATTGGGACGTGATTGGCTGCGACGGTATAACCCGCGAATTGACTGGACAACGGGTAGCTGCACCGTGCGAAGTAGTGGTAACTGGGTCGAACTACCTCGCTGGCAATCGCCCGAGTCTTCAACGGTCCACGTCAACGCCATCACGATGAAACGGGTTGTCGCCGCTGGAGCTGACGTGTACGCAGTGGATATAGCATTAGTGGAAGAAGAGGAGCAGCCGAGCGATTTTCAGAAACTGTTGGCAGCAGTACCGCCCGACCTTCAGGAACTGTTGAAACAGTACCCGGGGATTTTTCCAGACGACTTACCGCAAGGGCTGCCACCTCAGCGGGCGCATGACCATAGGATCGAGTTAGAACCGGGGGCACAGCCAACTCAGTTCAGGCTGACACAGCCCGAGCTCGACGAACTGAGGAAGTAGTTAGATTATTTGTTAGAGAAGCAGTTTATCCGACCGAGCTCGTCACCATTCGCCGCACCGATCTTGTTCACACCGAAAAAAGACGGAGGGTTTCGCATGTGCATCGATTACCGAGCGCTTAACAGGGTAACAGTCAAGTCGCGGTACCCCATTCCCCGCGCCGACGAATTGATAGACCAACTGCGAACAGCACGGGTCTTTTCGAAAATAGACTTACGGGGAGGTTACCATCAGATTCGGGTCGAACCGTCGGACTGCGCCAAGACCGCATTTAGGACTAGGTACGGGTCGTTCGAATACACGGTGATGCCTTTCGGGCTGACAAACGCACCCGCAACATTTCAGATGACCATGAACGAGGCGTTTAGGCCACTCTTAGATAAATGCGTGATAGTTAACCTTGACGACATCCTCGTTTACAGTCGCGACAAGCAACAGCACTTAGTAGATCTCGAAGCAGTGTTTAAAATTTTAGAGGGACATCGGCTACTCACCAAGAGCTCTAAGTGCGAGTTTTTTCGGGACAGGCTAGAATTTTTAGGGCACGTTATTTCGGAGGCTGGAGTTGAAATCGACCCCAAGAAGCTGGATACGGTCCAAGCGTGGCGTCCCCCGACGAACATCACGGAGATGCAGAGTTTTTTAGGGTTCGTTAATTACGTTCATCGGTTCGTCCCCAACATGGCATGATTAACCGCCCCGCTGACTGATCTGCTACGCAAGGGGGTCGCTTTTACGTGGGGGGAGAAAGAGCATGCTGCCTTCTCTGCCCTGAAAAATGTCCTCTGTTCACCACCTGTCCTGCGCATCGCTGACCCACATCGCCCCTTCGAAGTTGTTACAGACGCAAGCGACATCGCCATTGGAGCCGTACTGTTACAGGACTTCGGCAACGGCCTACAGCCCATCGCATACGAATCACGAAAACTGCATCCGCCTGAACGGAATTACCCGATACACGACCGCGAAATGCTCGCGATCGTGCACGCGTTCAAAGTGTGGCGCTGTTACTTGACCGGCGCAGACGTGACAGTACGGACAGACCATCGATCCCTACAGTACCTCCGCGCACAGCCCCACCTCAACCCACGACAGATTCGGTGGCTTGACTTCCTCGAGACAAATTTCCACTACACAGTCACATATAAAAAAGGAGCCTCGAACATTGCCGACGCACTGACCCGCCCCACTGCCCAGATCCATGCGATACTACTCGCCCAGACCAACCCGCTCCTGACAGGACTATTTACCCACGGATACCAAACGGACCCATTCTTCACAGGAGAAAACTCGCAGCAATTTGCAGCAGCCAAGGGAGTCTATTATGTAAAAGCCGGGACCGAACGCATCTGGGTACCAGGGTACACACTGCTACGGGAATTACTGTTACAGGAGGCACATTACGGAGTTACCTCGGGGCATTTCGGAGTAGAGAAAACACGGCAGCAGCTGCAGCGGTATTATTATTGGCCCGAAATGTTGACCGACGTACAGCGACACGTGGCATCGTGTCCCTCTTGCCAGATCATGAGGTCAACCCGGAAGCGGCCGGCGGGACAGTTGCAACCAATCCCACCCCCAGAGCGTGCTTGGCAGGAGGTGAAGATTGACTTCGTCACGGGGTTACCGGCCGGAGCGAGTGGGAATGACGCGATCCTGGTCGTCGTCGATCGACTGACAAAAATGGCACACTTCGCAGCTTGCAAGAAATCAATCACAGCCGAAGAAACAGCCCGCCTCTTCATCTCCACCGTCGTTCGACTGCACGGGATACCAGCATCAATCATCAGCGACAGAGACACGAAGTTTACCAGCAACTTCTGGCGGAACCTGTGGCAGCAGTTCGGCACGCGACTACAGTTTAGTTCATCATATCACCCCGAAACAGACGGACAGACATAACGGACAAATCAAACCATGGAGCAACTCATCAGGGCCACGTGCGACGATCCAAACACGTGGGAGCAACAACTGCCACTCATCAAATTCGCATACAACAACGCCCCATCCGCCACGACCCAACAGTCACCGTTTTACCTGAATTACGGACAAGACCCAACAGTACCCATGACCCCGAATCCCGACAACCCGGTTCCACGTGCGCAACAGTTCGCTGAAATTCTGCAAGCAGCACGGACCAGGGCAGCAGACGCAATCAAAAAATCGAACATCATCGCTAAACGCAACGCCGACCGCCACCGCAGACCTGCCACTTACCAGCCCGACGACCTAGTTTTACTCGACACTTAGAATCTCCGACTGCCCATCACACCCAAACTCCGCCCCCGATACTGTGGGCCATTTCGTATCAGCCACATGATAACACCCGTCACCGCCCACCTCCTCCTCCCTGCTGACTGGTACGTCAGCCCCTCGTTCCACGTTAGCCTGCTTCGCCCCTACGTCCCATCCACAAGCCAACTCCCACGCAATCGCCCAGCCAGCATGGCACGACCGCCAACCGAACCAATCATCGTCCCCGACAAAATCCTGAGCCACAGAGTTTGTGACCCTCGAGGAGCCCGAAAGATCGAGTTCCTGATCCGCTGGAAAGACCGCACACCCACCGAAGACAATTGGGTTCCCCTGGACAGAATCGAAAACCACCCTGTTCTTACCGAATATCTGCGCAGCCGAAACTTCAAGGACGTCCACGCACTTTCGTAAGGAGGACCTCCTTAGGAGGGGGGGGGGGGTAGTGTAAGGAAAATCGCTTTTCCTTACTTCGCACCCCTGCTCAATGCGTACATCACTGTAGCACCACAGTCAGCACCGTTACCACTCGCGATCCTCGCCTCGACAATCAGCCCGCCATTTTCACACATCGCATCTCAACCTCACGGCTCGGCTGGTAACCCGCGCTCCGGGCCTCCACTTCGACACTTTCCCAAACCTCAGTCCCAGGCCCGTCGCGCAACAACCACAGTCCATTACCGTTACCACTGTAGTTTCGCTATATATTCTTCGCGCATGCCTTCGCTCATTTGGACTCTTGCTTCGATAGTGCAATTCTCGTTCATTCACTCAATTGCACTCGTAACACATACACCGATGCCTTAAGTATCTTACTGGTGCTGCCATACCATAGGTGTTCCACTAGCTGTCTTGTGGTCCACATGGGAAGAACCACAGTAGATTTATTCCTCTCTTATTGCTGCTCTTGCTCTATCCTAAACCCTGACAAGGTACTTGATTGTTGACTCATGGGACCTTTCAGATATCAGCTCAATTTTTACAGTTTGACCCCACGGCTCGTCTGTGCCCCAAAGAAACTGCTGCAAGCACACTGTTTTCGCTGCCACCTCCAGATTCACAAGCTGATGCTCCTGGACATCTCTCCCTCTTGGCTCATCATTCCTGGAAAAAAAACTGAAGTAACAGTTCATTGCCACAATCCTCTCCTTGGCACTGCTGCTCTTGCCTGTCACCCGTTCCTTCACTCTTCTTTTTCCCGCTCCGCATTCAATCCTCTCTCCCCCCTCTACTTTGTTAGACACAGTACCCAGGTGGCTCCTCTCCTCTTCAGCTCTCGTCGAAACACCCTTCCTGTCTCCAGCACAACCATAGCCCATTCGCACCAGCAAGCAGGCCGGCGGCAATCCCAAGGGCCATGTTGGGGAAGAGGAGGGAGAGGGAGAGGTGGAAGAGGGCGAAGAGGGCTGCAGAGAGCATTGCAGCGACCATCCTGCGGGAGAAAGAGGCATGGAAGGGGATAGGGCAGGGAGGAAAGAAGGGGAAGGATACAGGATAGACGATATAATGCGCGTGAAGATAGGAAAGAAAGAGGGACATACGCCACTGCTGGACGCGGACTCTACCAATCCAGCTGCACTGCCCCAACGCCTGGCCGCCGCGGAAGCCGGTCTTCCCCCCTCAACAGTGGCTGTGATGAAGGTCGGGAGAGAGAAGGGGGACGGGCTGAAGCTGCAACACGCACTGGCGCTGCACGTCCACTCAGCTAAGGCTGTCGCCGGCGTCCGTAGCAGCCGGCGCATGTCCCCGAACCCGCTCATGGGCCACATGCAACGCCTCCTATCCCTCCTCGGACCAGGAGGCGGCGATTGGCTGGCGGCACTGCCCCTGACGAGCGCCCTTCGACTCTGCCCCGCCCAGTACTCCCAATCCATCCTCTTCCGCTTGGGCCTCCCCCACCCAATCCCGCGCCAATGCGACTGCACCAAGGCTGTCATTGCCAAACCACCTGCTGCGCTGTGGGACAGGGAAGGGACGGACGAGCTCGCACCATGCCCTGCGGGATGAATGCGCCCGCATAGCCAAAGAAGCAGGTTACCCAGTCCACAAGGAAACAGCGCAGTATACGCCGGTCGAAAACCTATTCGCGGACCTCTCGATCCGCGATCCCATCACCGGCCGTATACACATCTGTGACATCACTGTCACCGACCCCATCTCAAAATGCGACAAGTATGCACAAAAAGGGACGGGTTGGGCTGCCTGTGTGGCCGCAGACAAGAAGACGGACAAGTATGCAATACGGAATGAATGGGTGGGGTTCATCCACATGGCAGTCGAGACCTACGGCTGTACCTCACCGGGGGTGTTCGAGTTTCTGAAGATGTGCGCCGACCTGGCTGCCAAGCTGCGTTTCAACGCCCCCCCTACCTCAGCGGAAGCAGCCAAGCTGTTCCACGAGTACAGGCAGCGCTAGAGTATCACTCTGCAGCGCGGGCAGGCGCACGCCCTCAATCTGAAAAATCACACGGCCATGGAGGCGGACGAGGCTGGGATTGCGGATGCCATCGAACCCCTAGCTGAAGGTTACCTGTTTCAACTCCTAGAACCCCCGCTTGGACCCCTTGTGGACCAGGCGGGTGGCGAGTAGGATGATTGCCTCACCATCAACCTTGCATGCTTGTATGCATAGTGCTTATTAATACAACGGACCATTCGAGGGACATTGGATTGATGAAAGAGAGCGTGGGCTATGGCAATGGAGGAACCTATTAAACCCAGAAAGAAGGTGGTGCCAAACCTCACTACCGAGCCTCCTGCCAAGCCTCTCACCTGCCGAGCCTCTCTTGCAGGGCTGTGAACAGCAGCCCTCTGATCAGCAGCTCCTCTGCTACAGCCGGTGACACCACCACCCACAAGAACAGCTGTAGCACGTCTAGCAGGGAGAGGGCTGCGGCAGCTGCAGCAGAGGCAGCTGTAGCAGCTACATCCCCTCCAGTCCCATCAAGCAACAACAGAGGACCTAGCAACAATGCTGGAGCACTCTCACACTATCCCCTGCTCCTCCTCCTCCTGCTCCTCCTGATACTCCTGCCACTAGTTCTGCCATTCCCACTGCCGCCTCGCCGCCAGCACCTATCTTAAGTGACAGATGAGAGAGAAGAGCGGAGAACGAGCGAGGAATGACAAGCGGAAGAATAATGAAACGTTTTTCTCTTCTCAGGGGTTGTTGCCGTGTTGCCGGTGTTCCAAGAGCAACACATGAAAGGCCTACAAGGGTGGTGCAATGGGGGAGTGGCGAGCAGATCGGCAGGACTCACAGTGAATGTGATCATCCCACGTGGCCTGGAGGAGAACAGAACAGAGGGAAGGAGAAAGGTTGGATAATAAGGGAGAGAAGAGAGAAGGATGGAACTACAGAGTAAGCCATACGCAGTGTGGGCATGGAAGAATGTGAAGTTACCCCCATGCCATCATACCATGGCATCACACCCATGCCATAACACCCGTACTCCAGCATATCCACACTGCCATCATATTCCTACCATCACACCCCCCATGCCCTCATGCCCTCATGCCATCATACCATCAGCACCCGAAACAGCTTAATAAGGCGGGCAGACCTCGGCGTTAGCAGCTCCTGGACGGCAATTCTTGTCTCTTCCTTCCTCACTGCCGTACAAACAGGAGTGCTGTATGGCTCTTCTTGGGGCATCTGCAAGCGCAGTGCAAGCACCAACTGGTGCAGGGCGGACCTGTAGGGAGTAAAAGGGGAGATAAGCAGCATAAGAGTGACTTGACATCAGGGGAACAGCTGTAGCAGGCCCATCAGGGAAGGGCTGCAGCGGCTGTAGCAGTGCCAGCTGTAGCAGCCACACCCCCTCCGGTCCCATCTGGCAGCAACAAAGGACCGTCACGCTGGATGTAGCACTCACGCTGTCCCCTCCTCCTTATTTTGCTCCTCCTGCTCCTGCTTCTGCTGATAGATCGGGTAATCCCCCTCCCCTTCCCCTGCAGCATCATTAGAAATTTAAAAACTAGAGAGAGAAGCAGAGGCCATAGAATAGGCCCCCCTGCTGTCCCCCCTCCTCCCTTCCAGCACCAGTAGAAAATGCATAACCAGAGAGAAAATCAGAGCCCATATAATAGGTCCCCCCGCTGCCCCTGCCGCTATAACCTTCCATCAGCTATCATTCCCCTCTGCTAACACTCCAGTCTCTCTGTCTCATCCCCCCCACAGTGGTTGATGCAGTGGTTGACACAGACATCAGGCACTGGCGCACACCCTCACACTCAGGCATGGACTCTGGCGCACACCCTCACACTCAGGCATGGACTCTGGCGCACACCCTCACACTCAGGCATGGACTCTGGCGCACACCCTCACACTCAGGCATGGACTCTGGCGCACACCCTCTCACTCTGGGGCACACAGCACAATGGAACCCGAAGAAGCCAATCAGCAGCAGCCCTAAACTTTGACCCCAAACCTTTTCTCAAACTGCTTGCCTGAGCAGTGGAGAAACTGCTGCAAGCACACTGTTTTCCTTGCCGTATCCATGTTCACACGTTGCTGATCTGTAACAGCCCCCACCACTGGCTCGTCATGTCCTAGGAATTCCTCAAGCATCGGTCCACTACCACAATCCTCCCCTTCGCCCTGCTGCTCTTGCCTGCCACCCGCTCTTTCGCTCTTTCTTTCTTCCGATCCCCATTCAATCCCCTCCGCTCCCCCCGCATTGTCAGACACAGCCCCCAGGTTGCTCCTCTCCTTCCCAGCTCTCGTCGAAACACCCCTCCCACCTCCAACACTTGTCTGAGTAGCCCTCTCGCGTGCCACAACCTCATATCCCATTCGCACCAGCGCCAAATGCCGCGGTCTGATTCGCCGATCCAAACTCAACCCAAGAAACCTGGGGTAGGCAACCACCTCCATTATAGAGAGCCCCATGTCCCGTTTTAAGTACTCCACGTTGGGCTTCAGATTCGCTTTCCAACTGCAAGAGATAGATGGCGGGGACCTCACAACCAAATCCGCCACCAACTGACGAGCCCTGCATCTCTCGACACTTAGTGCTCGGGAATCATTTTCCCCTTCCAGACAGTTACCTCTATTACCTTCCCCCAACCGTTGTGTCTCGCTTCCCTCTTCTCCACTGCTCTGCAATGCCTCTTCCACTTCTCGCACAAGCTCTCTAAAAGTTTCCCTTATGACATCTTCACTAGAAGTCATTGACAAAGGAAATCGTGCCACCACCCGCACAGCACCTTCTCGGCCAATCAAATCAACCAATGCCGCCACCTTACCTTGCAGATTTTTCTTCGATAGTTGCAGAACCCCTGTGTAACACCTCACCAGTCTTCCTGCTGTCTCCTTCCCCACAAGCTCCACAAAGAATTGAAGCTTAGCTAAAAGAGTCTCTTTGCTGTTCCCGAGGATGCTGGGGGCTCGACGAAGCACAGAGCTCGCAACAGAGGGGGTGCCTGGGTGAGTGAAGGACTGCAGGATGGCGATTTTCTCTGCAATGAGATTGGGAGAAGTTGTGAAAATGACTGGACAGTTCAGGATAAGCCTGCTAAGGTGGTTCTCTCAAGTATTTCATGCTGCCTCCGGGAGTGACCGACTCGGGGATCAAGCACCTGAGGAATATGAAACTGCTCGAGAAGCTGTCGCTGCGGGATGCGAGCATCACTGAGTCAGGCATGAAGTGGCTCAAGGGTCTCAAGTGCCTTCAAAAGGTTGCTACTGATTCTTACGAGATTGAAGAATTGATCAGGGACATTCTCCCTGGGGTGATTGTTACATCGGGTCCCCTCAATGCGTAGTGCAGTAGGTATTCGAAGCGTTTGTGGCTCAATTATAGGCGTAGTGCTGTTAGCTTAACGTCATGCTTATAACAGGTACCAGAACATCCTTGGTAATGTCATGCGAATAGTGTTGTCAAGTTTCCAGGTAAGACAATATCAACAGATACCATGCTTGCCACAGAAAGCTAACAAACAGCTACTGTAGTATTGTAGTACGTACTATAGTGTTGAATTACTGAAATTGAACTTCAAAAGAATCCCTCAACACTTGGGATGAACCGTAAACACTCTTGGTGTACCGTCAGTTAGAGGCGAAGCTACAGTGTACTGTAGCACCCAGTTGTTCACCGCTGCTCCATGCTCCCCGAACCTGTTGACCGCCACCAAGCCTCCCACAAAGGTTGGGAATTTGGCTCGGATGCGACTGATGGCAGCTTCGGCAGCCGAAGCTGGGGAAGAGCCCATTCGCATGAGCTCGACTGCTAGGAAGCTGAAATAGTGAAGGGAAGAGGAATGTGGGAGAGGAGGAAGAGAGGAAGGAAGATGGGATGAAAGAGAGGAGGCTGGGGTATAGCACATTCGCATGAGCTCAACTGCTAGGAACCTGGGCTGGAATAGTAAAGGGAAGAGAAATGTGGGAGAGGCGGAAGAGAGGAACGAAGATAAGACCGAAGTGAGGAGGGTCGGGTTGAGTCCATTCAGATGAGCTCAACTGCTTGAAAGCAGAGATATTAAGGGAAGAGAAACGTGGGAGAGGGGGAAGCGAGGAATGATGATAGGGAGAAAGAGAGAGGCTGGGGTAGAGCCCATTCGCATGAGCTCGACTGCTAGGAAGCTGGAAGAGTGAAGGGAAGAGCAACAAAGGGAAAGCAGCAAGAAAGGAATTAGTGGGCAGAGAGTGGAGGGGTACAGAGGAGTGAGAGGGGGTAGGCTCTATCTAACATGTGTTTATGTGAAAATTCCGTGTAGTGGTTTCCAAATGAAAATTATAGCGATGTCAGCAACTGCTGAGATATCAGTAAGCACACACGGCCATGACGTCAGCATACCATGGCAGGAACCTCATCATGACGTCACCATCTCCTGTTGCCCCACAGCCCCCCACTCTGGAGTCCACATATGCTCCTGCCCCTGCTATGGGTGCATCACCCACCCTGGGAACAATGAGAGGGAACGGACGGAGTGAGTGAGTGAGTGAGCGAGGGAGTGAGAGAGTGAGCGAAGGAGTGAGATTGCATCACCCCTGACAGACAGTGTGTGAGTGGGTGATTTGAGTCGGCGCACAGCAATACTGCATTGTCGGCACACCCCTGTCCCACACCCCCCTTTGCTTGATGGAGTGAGTAAGTAAGGGCGTGTTGCACTTGGCGCGTTTGCTCATCTTTCCGCATTTAACCTCGAAAAAACTCTCTAAAAGTTTGAACTTTTGCAAAAGTTTGACCCTGATGCACAAGTCCACATAGGGACCTTGTCTTGCTATAGGAGCAGGACCTTATGGGCATGATGTCGTTAGCATGATGACATGGGTATGTGGTAAGCATGATGACATGGGTATGTGGTAAGCATGATGACATGGGTATGTGGTAAGCATGATGACATGGGTATGTGGTAAGCATGATGACATGGGTATGTGGTAAGCATGATGACATGGGGTAAGCATGATGACATGGGTATGTGGTAAGCATTATGACATGGGTATGTGGTAAGCATGATGACATGGGTATGTAGTAAGCATGATGACATGCGTATGATGATATGGCTATTTTGACCTGGGAATGAATGAAGGCATGGGAATGAAGGCATGGGAATGAAGACACGGGATAAGAATGGATGATGACACAGATAGCGTTTTGAGTCGACTCAAAAGTCAAATGGATGATGACACAGATAGCGTTTTGAGTCGACTCAAAAGTCAAATGGATGATGACACAGATTGCGTTTTGAGTCGACTCAAAAGTCAAATGGATGATGACACAGATTGCAACATACCTCCCTGGGATGTGGAAGGTGAGTCCATTGGTGGATGTCGCTGCTGCCATGCTGCCGTTCTGATGGCATGGGCATGGGGTGATGACGTCATGGGCATGGGGTGATGACGTTATCAGCATAGGGTGATGATGTCACGCACATGGTATGATGATAGGCAAGGTACACATGAGGTAATGACGTCTTGCACATGGAGGCACGGTGATATGGAGGCACGTGTGTATGTGCAGTGCAGTTGAGAGCAGGCAACACATATCAGGCACATGAGAGTAGGCTTGGGCCGAGACAAAAGAACAGCCCAGAACCTGTCATCTCACCTCACCTCACCCCACCCCATCACACCCCACCTGTGCGATGGCAACCATGGAGATGGTGTCGTGTGACGCCATCCGCCTTGTGCTCCTCAACGACCCTTGCTGCCTGCCTGCCACCACAACAGCCTTGCCTTGCCAAGTCCCCCATCCAGCCTTTCACCGCACCACACCCCACCGCACCGCACCTGTGCGATGGCAACCATGGAGATGGTGTCATGTGATGCCATCCGCCTTGCGCCCCTCAACGAGCCATGCTGCCTGCCTGCCACCACAACAGCCTTGCTCTCATCCAACCACCCCACTGAACCCCACCGCAACTGACCGCACCCCACCGCACCTCACCTGTGCTATGGCGACCATGGAGATGGTGTCGTGTGATGCCAGCCGGTTTCGCCTCCTCGAAGAGCCTTGCTGCCTGCCAACAAG